ATAATTTTTCATAACACTATTTTATTTTTAGTTTATTCCTATATTTATATATTTAGGGTATGTACAAGGTTTATAAGACATTTTTACAAACTAAAATCACTTATAGGCAGATTTTGGTCAATATCAAAAAGCATTCCGTAATCTGTACGTCATCTGATCCATAATTGTTATGAGTTTATAACTACCATAAAATTACGGGTAGTGGGGTTGAGACGCTAACAAAAAGTAACTTAGTTTATCTAAGGGTTCACAAATCTAAATGACACTTATGTTATTGGACATTATCGGAAACGAGAATGTTAAAATACAATTTATGAGTGTAAAAACTAAAGGGCTCAATATTGGCTGCAAGTGTACGATGATTGTTTACACTTCTAATTATTACCTAAAGAATATTTATATGTTACTTAACCAAAGTTAGGTTATATATCTCTCGTTAACATTTGCAGTATCTCTTTTTAGGATTTTAATTTTTTTTTAAATGAAACTGTATTCTGAAATGCATGTATGCCAGTACCATAAAATTACTGAAACAGAGAATGTGAAATTTCAGTTCTAATACTCAAACGAGAACACAAAATAATGTTAGAATCATGTTGGTTCATTGCAATACTAATGTGGATCTGATTACTTAAATATGCATCTTCCATCTTTTCTTTTTTTTTAAATATTGTAACAATTATAACATAAACATAATTAATTTTTAAAATAGAATTTGTTTCCAAATAAGAGACGCAAATGTCACAAAGCCTTTTCTCCCACACGTAGGGGGAGGGTAGAGGGGACGGGGACATTGACGTCATTGCCCACCCTTGACATTGCTCGATCGATCTACCCGCAATGCCGAGGCCGTGTTTACAACGAAACCTGAATGAAATCTTATTAGAACCCTATTTGTGGAACTAAATGTATTAACATTTACAACAATACAATTTTTTATTATTCTATTAGAAATTAACTGAGTTGAGCGTGTGAAACTTTGTTTTTGTAAAAGATTATGGCGCCGGCTATGTTTAGGATTTATGGGCGTAACTTTAGTCTTTTGTTTTAGTGTCAAATTTTCCGTACATTATACAGAACAGGTTGTAAAATTTTGACTTCGACAGAACAAACAATAAACACAGATCTGTATTGCAATTAAAACTAAAAAGAGATAAAGTATTTTTTCTAAATTATTTTCGTTTGTTATTGATTTGTGTTTGTGTTACACATAGTTACAAAATTACTAAGAATTAAACTTTAACTCCTATTTTTGTTTTTTAATAAAAGATAACCTTTTCCCAAAATATCCATAACCTTTCGCGGGTAAACTGTAAAGACACGTTTGTACGCCCTTCACTGACCTCAACGACCTTTAACCTCGGCGTCCCGTGACGTCATTCCTCAATTACTTGTTTCGGATGTCTGAAAGCCGAAAGGACTTGCGCATATACTGGTTAAATAATGTTAAATAATTGCTACAAAAGTAACACTTTGCCGTGCAACAACGCGGTTTACTCCAATTTTAGAATTTATTTAAAATTAGTAGAATAATCTCGAATATTCGAGAGTTTTAGCGCAAGCGTACAAACCACTACGACCTGTTCTTGTACCAAAACCTAATTTTACGTACGTAAGGGTCTCACTAAACTAATCCTCGTTTCTGAATGTTAGCAAAAGCTTTGATCAAGTTCTCTAAATTATGTCTCAACTTTACCATAAGATTTATACTAGAGTTATGGTATAAGTAGACAGGGAATCCGTTATTATGCTACGGGAAAATATTCCTTGATTTTTAAAATGCTCACAATAAACATAATCCTACTAGCAATGTAACCAAATTCAGTACATAATGTATACAACAAGTAATGCGTAGAATGTACTATAGTGGGGAAGCCCTGATAGCAACACTGCAGGCACTTCGCCAACTAAACCGGTTCACAAACAGCTGGTTCCTTAACCTACACTCATGTTGCAATCTTCATCGCCGCTTATTTTTTTATCGAGTGCCTCCTTTAACGACTATCAGAAAAGCTTACCCGTATTTCATATTATTTGGTAGCTACTGCGGAATTATTTATTATTTTTAATTATTCACTGCGACATCTTTATTAGCGGATTTATTAGATATTATATGTAGATTGTCATATGTTGTTACTTTATTATTATATGAAAGGATCTAAACTTTTACTGGGCTTGACTATTAAAAATCTAGCTTGGTAGTTTCATTTTCAAGTTTAAAAGAATATAAAATTGACTGAACACTTATTCTGATTTCATTAGGAATACGATCGGTTATTTCGAAAACCTGACAACAGGCCCATTAGCTCAGTTGGTTAGAGCGTCGTGCTAATAACGCGAAGGTCGCGGGTTCGATCCCCTCATGGGCCACAAACTTTTTAAGTATTTTTTTAAATATAAATCCTATTTATCTAGGTTTACTGGTGTACGCTGGTGATACTATTATTTACATTATTTCTTCTGGGTGTCTAAAACAAACTGTTGTGCGCTTTGATTTTTTTAATATTAGAAAATGTACATATTAGCGTAACATCGATGCGAGTTTACCTAAAGCATTAGTTAAATTTGCTTAACCATTTATACGAAACATCAAAACACGAAATACCAATAAAGGTGATTTTTATCCAGTTTAAAATCATACGAATGTGGCTAAGTATACATGATATATTTACAATTTGTAACAAGCTCATATTCTTTACAACTGTTTTTGAAGTGAAACTTCTTTATCGAGGTTGGAAAAAAATTTAGTGTAACATTTTTTCGTTACGCGTCACATTTTTCGGTTACGCGCCATGTTGCTTTTGAAGTCAAACTTCTTTATCGGCATTGGAATGAAACTTCTTTATCGACGTATGGGAGAAATTTTGTAGCAAATCGTCACGTTTTTCAATGATAGTAATAATTCTATTACAATTAATGAAATTCTATAATAATCTTCGTAGTAATAAGGTAAAATGAAATATTTGTATTCATGTCTATGATAATAAAAGCCTTTTGTTAAACTTTATCTAATTTAACGAATTTCTGTAAAGTTGCATATAGTAGATCATTTTTCGAAAAATAAGATCATAAAGAAGTTTCACTTCTTACGTGTGTACACCTAGTACACGCACAATTTTTTTTTACCACTACGATATCTGTTAATTAAACTAATTCTCGGCAAAACAATTATGGTTGGTAGACACACCTACTCAAAAATGATGAATGAAACACACATTGTTGTCTTTATTGGTACTCATTGAGTTATTAGCGCCATCTTGTGTTCAATTATGACATTACGTTTTATGCAAAATTTTATCATGTTTGGTGCTAATTGAGATTGGTAGTTTTAAACAAAGTAAAATGACAGTTTAATTAAAAAAAATATCAAATTGTTAATTTTTCAAAATTATACTGATTGAAAATAAAAATATTCGCAATAGTATTTTTTATACTTAAATGTAATGATAACTAGTGTTATTCGGATTTGGGAATTGAGGGTAGAAAAGACATTTCAGTATTATAATTTAATGAATAATATCTACAATTGTACAATAAAAAAATATGCGTATTCAACAATATGATTTTGATAATATATATATATACAATAAATACACCACTAAGTAACGGTGTAGTCACAGATCTAAAAAGGGCTTACCGACCATCTTTAACGAAAACATTTTGCATTTCCGTTTAATGCTTTGTCAACCTGCATTATTACTCTGCAACTTCCAATAACGACAGCGTTACCGGTCATGATTTTGTATGCAAGTGCGATATAGTTCTCTCAATCCATAGATAGCGCTGATGTCGCACCATTGAGGTCACGCGGTACAAATGAATGGAAGTTACAGAGTAAGGGCCCTGGTTTTTTTTTACTTTAAAATACTTAGTATTTGCATAAGCCTTATATTGTAAGGGCTATTAATAAAAATGTTTACGTTATTTCATAATCAATTTAATTCATATTCTCTGACGACGAGACTCAACGTATATCATGGAGCCTTTCTCATTGTATATGTAAGGCGAATATCACATTTTATAGATAAGAATTAACAAATTTATACTATAGCCGTCAGGCAAGTTTCTCTTGAAACGTAAAGGCTTTAATAGATTTCAGTAAAACTAGGATCCATTAACATATATTCCATACAATGGCATAGTATATCTGTCGCAGCCAACTAGCTTATTTAGCCGTTCAATTAACAGCCTTGCCTTTTCACTAAACAGCGCCGTTTAACTAACGGCCTGAAAGATATTCAGCCGTAGCGTTTGTAACAACATTTAATAAACTGATTAATGCTTAGGCCATTCGTAGGATAGGAGATCATGTGGCAGAAATAAAAGAGATGAAGCATCTGATATAAAAAAATATTTCTTTAAAAATTAAATTGCTTGAAATTCACATAATTATTGTCATTACACTCTTCTATTATACATGATGTTTTTCGTAAAACTTTGGAAAACACCATCAAAGTTGTGGTTTCCCGACGCCATATTGACAGTTTGATGAGTTTCGTTTCGAGTTTGACAGTGGCAGTAGAACTAAATTTAGATTAACAGTCAATAGGCTAGGCAAGTAATGAAATGTTGCTGTTAGATCAACTGGCTTCTTCTTTCAGGCCGCTAATTAAACGGCGCTGTTAGAGGCTAGGCTGTTGATTGAACGACTAATTAAGCTAGTTGGCTGCGACATATCCAATGCAATATCTTGAAGCGAATTGTAATTAATTAATAAGTTGGAATTGAATTATTTTCCAAAAAAAAAAAAACACCAACAATGGCTGCTTACGAATGTATGTAAGATTAAATTAAAATAATTCACCTAAACCCTAAAATGTTTTTCTAGGAAGCTTTTCTCTATTTAGTTTTTTCTAAAAAGCAATTTCCACTTACTATAAAATAGCGTGCGTATGTACCCTGATGCACATACAATCAAAATATCGTGAGGATATCGCTCTTTCAGCCTATTTAGTGAACAAACCATTTAAGTTCAGTATGAGCTTTGAAATAAAAGCTCTCTAGTTATTTATAACAAGCCACCTGTGTTTTGTATGTTCTATTTGTTGTTGTAGTACGGGCGTGCGTACACGCATACGTACTTCTAGCGACCCACCCGCTGGACGGCGCCCGTCCATTAACTGTCGAAAGAATATGAGTAATTAATTAAATTATAGAAAGAGAAGTAATAAATATAGAATTACTTACAGTTTATTTTTGAATTCTTTAAAGGTATACGTATGTTTGACTGGTGTGAAATTAAAAACTTACAAAACTATTGGAAAGATTTTTATCGTTGAACTCCTATTTTTATAAATGACACATTTTTAGTATAATAGTATGATAGATCGAGTCTGGGACGACAGAGATAAGCCAACTCAATTAAAAATTTTATTAATCTATGAATCAAACAAATAATTCAAATTGTAAATTTACTCTCGGGGAAGCAACAATTTAATTTGCCCCAATATAGAAGGTATCTTTCTTTATTGTTCTATTAATTTAACTGTCTAGCGCTATAAAAAGTTTTATTTCAAAGTCAAAGTAATAAAAATTATTGTGCTCCATAACCGGCCCATATAGTTATAATACTGACCTGATAAGCCTCGTGCAAAGTACACTGTGTCTCAAGCGGTGCCAACTTGACGGAAGCAGACCCCAGCAGTGTGTCCTTACTGAACCAGCCACTGCAACACAACACGCCGTCACAACACCTGTACAACACTACAACTAGAACAGGCAACTACTGCTACGACATTGATTCAAAGGTAATTTAATAAAACAAAGGCCTTCTACAAAAATGATATATAAATAGAATATTAGTACTGTCTAATACACACACATATACACGAACGCACACACTAGAATTTATATTTTACTAGGGTTTATGGCAGTTTCTTGATAATTGTAATTTCTAAGGTGTTAGTTATCTAAATACATTTTAAATGTGGTTATAGATTAAACTCGTAAATGGTAATAAATTTTGATAAAAATCCACCCTTAGTTTATAATTATATTTGTGTATAAACTAGCACGGCCGTGTGAAACCAGTCCGGCTGGATTTTTTCAACAAATTTTAGTAATAAATTTATAATTAGGTAAAATGTAGTGGTGTCATGGTTAAATTTTTATTGATATAAATTTCTAGATTATTTCTTATATACATTAATTATTTTTAATTAAATAATAATTTATGTATAATACATCAGAATGTATGTAAAGACACCGCCCCTTAACACATACTTGACTGTTAGGTGAATAAATGAAATGATTAATTAATAATTATTAATTAAAAGCATACATATTAGGAAGAAACCAACTTATAAAAGCCAGAAAATATACCGGGTATAAACAGATCTACCAAAAATCCATATTTAAATCAATTGTAAATAAAATATTATATATTTAGGTTTAAATATAGAAAAACGCCTTTTTTTTAAGAAAAACACTTTTTTAACGGATTTAAAGTTATGTTCTATTAAAAATTTACAATTATTTTACATAATTTTAAATTTAACCGATTTAACCGTTTCGCGTGCTTTACAACGTGCGTGGTCACCGTGACCGATGTAAAATAATTGTACATTTTTAATAGAACATAACTTCAAATCCGTTAAAAAAGTGTTTTTCTATGTCTAAAAGTTATGTCAATAAAAGACAATTATACAAAGGTTGCGTCTCTGATCAAGGCAATATAAAATGAATATATTTTTCGTTTGCTTTCATTATATCCGGTATTTCTACAAAATTGTCCTCTATTCACTTTACAATAAACAAAATCTTTATAGAAATAGTGTTAGTATTAATAGTAGCAAAAAAACTTACCCTCTAGAATAAACTTCGAATTTAACAGCATGGCGTTTAAACACCCTGAGACACGCCCTTTGCCTTTGTATCGGTAACGTGAATACGGCGTCGTATTGCGGGCTGTTTGTATCTTTTATTAGTGCTGTACGGTCCGATACGGGCGCATCCTGAAAAATATTATACACATATATAGAGGTATATATCCCATTTCCCAACGAGGTTTAGGGAAAACAAGTCCAAATTTACTTTAAAAAGGTAGAAAAATTTATACTCGATAGTTCAGCAGTTTTTTAATTAATATTGCTTGCACATTTATCAAAAAAGAGAGAAAAAATGCCTCCCAATGTTAAAAGCAAGAGAGATGAACTGAAGTAAAACGAAGGATCCGTGCAATTATTTAATCAATATTATTGTTTAAAATTCAAAATATTAGCGTGTTTAATCATTTTAAAAGGGAATTCAAAAATTCAAAGTCATTTATTCATATATGTAACACAATGTACACTTATGAACGTTAAAAAAGAAATATACATTAAATGCTTCTAATTTTACATTTACTGCCAGTTCTCAAATCAAGGGCGTAGAACGGGAGAGAAGAACTGGCAATAAACTCTCCGCCACTCTTTTTAATTGCCATGTTTTTTGTTTTACACATGTTCCACATGACATCTTAAGTAATTAATAATAATAAAACAAATTATAAACAAATATTTGTCCTCTATCAGCAGGAGGCATGGTGAAATAGGAGCACACACTTAAATTTTCGTGAGAACTACACGTATTAATGATACTTAACAGAATGACCCCAGAAGACTAAAATTAGTACGGCTGTCTGATGGCCACGTGCATCTCATTCGTCTGATGATAATATGATTTTGTAATGAGATATAAATTTCTTTATTATCCTTACCTGTGGATAAGGAAACTCGAACTTAACGTAAGTATCGATTTCCCTCGGGTTAGGCACGTTATAAGCGATCCCACGAACTATCGTTAATTCTAGTTCACTCTCGTTTAGGTCCGTATTGCATTGGACAATTGCGAACTGACGCATCTCGTAGTGGAACTTTGGTGGAGTTCCGAGGCTGAAAAGTAAAAAAAAATACGTTGAAGTGGATTTTTTTTGACGCGTTAGGGAAAAATGATTAGAGTTAATTTTTACGATGCGCGCGCACGCCGTCACAAAAAACTGACACCCGCACACCGTCACAAAAAACCGACACCCTAAAGTTAGCATAGTCATTTCAAAATAAAAAATGTGCATCTCTTTATTTATGTAGAAATATTTTTTTGTGATATTTAAATAAACTTTATTTAACTAGATAATGCGTTTATTAGTAAAATACGTTTTTTCTATTGTTAGTGTCGTTTTTTCTACAAATGTAGAATAAGGCGAAAGATAAAATTTTTGAAAAGATTTTTCTCTAGTTACGCCAAAGAGGTATAACTTTTATCGCGAGTACATAAGTACACACACGTTTTTTTTTAAATTGTCTCTGCACTGAGACATCATTTCCGACTAATCTTATTAAATCTAAGACTAATCAGTATTTTAAGCCTTACTCAATATACTAAACACAATATTTAGCTTACTAAGGGTCTGTTTCACAATGTATGGATAAAGTATCAAATAGCTATGCAACACATAAATTATTTGCAAGATAAATTGTGCTATTTGACACTTCATCGGACTCATAACTTATGATGGACTTTAATAATGTGACGAATAGTGCTATCTGACAGTTGTGAAACGCAACAATAGTGTTTATCCTACCAATAAGTAATAAAAAGCTAATTTGGAACTTATGTAAAACTTATCCGTACATTGTGAAACAGACCCTTACAGTCATTACTTATAGTCTCTATTAAGGGGAAGACACTGTTCTTGTATAATATTTTTTTCTTTCAACAGCTTTTATATTTTAATATTAATCTTCTTGCATATGTTAAATGTTTAAAAGACAAGAAAAAATCTATTATTATTATATGTATTTAAAAAAATACATACGTCTTAGCCACAGCCACAACGTCCAAATCTTGTTTGACACTGACAGCCAAATGCTCAAATCTGTTACTCTCAGCGATATTACCCATAGCCTTATAATGGTCCCGGTTTGTCAAACACAATTTCAATTGATTTGACAGTTGTGAATGCAAACGGGACATGACGTCATCGTCTTCAAGGGATATTGCCGTATCGTCTGGTGGACCACAGTCTTCAGCGGATACTATATCGAAACTGGAATTAATGTTGCATTTAAACTCTTAGCTCTAAATTTTTAACTACATACTATAAACGAATGTTAATGAACTACGCGTAAAATACGTCGCTAAATAGTGACGTATTTTCTCAAGCTAGTTTAGGGAATAGAAATTCTTTGTCTTAAGCAAATACATAGTAGATTAGTATTTCGTGCCTTCAAATCTGATTTATATTCTTTATCAGGAAGTAATAAGTAAAATAATATAAACTTGCTATATCAGACTATGCCATCAATGCCACATCTAGTAAAAAAACTGTGTTTTGTTTGGTTGACTGATCAAGTTTAATATGTCTACCCACATTTTTGTTTCTGTTTTGTTTTGTTATTTTATATACGTACCTACATCTGTGCGCTCTAATTATTTAATCTTAGTTTTACATATTGTTTCTCAGTAAGTGAATTATGTATGCAATTCTTATGAGAAATAAAGTTATTCTTAAACCTTAAAAATAAACCTCTATATTGGAATTACATTAAAAAAGCCTAGATGGCGCTACATGTATATTAAAACTCGCTATCGTTGACATGCATTTACCGAACGTATTATATTCCTACCCTCATATAATTAATTTACTATTCCTTTACTATAATAATCAAACTTGTCTGTTCCTTTTCATCACTGCGTAGTAAATACAGATAAAATAATAATTACGTTACTTAGAGCTAATTTAGATTTTATTATACAAGGCAGAAGGCTTCAAAAAGCTATAATCAAGCCAATAATAAACCAAAATGGACTTATTAAGAACGTCTAACTACCGTCTAAGTAGAAAAGCACTCTTTTTGTTCCCGTTTTTTCCCCACGAAGGTACTTAAAAGATATTGGATATGTAAAGTCGCTTACGTCTCTTCAATTTGTTTCTTAGCTGTAGGTGGTAGTGGAATAGACTTCAAATCAACTGGAAGGCCTCCTTTAGTCGCTTCTATTAAAGAGTCGAAACCTTTCGCTGCTCTAAGATACTCTTTTGCCTGCTCCAAATTACCTGAAGATATTCAAAGTCAAAGTCAAATCATTTATTTCAATTAGACCATCTAAAATGGCACCTTTGAACGTCAAATAAAATATAAAGATGATTCTAGTTGCCCCTTCCAAAAGGTAGTTTCGTGTGGAGAAGAATGGGAAAGAAACTCCACACTTACTCTTTTAAAATAGGTTTACAATATTTTGTTTACATTAGTTAAATAATATATATATGTATATATGTGAAGACATAGTCTTAGAATAAAACTACTATACTAAAAATAATACAAAATATTTACAAATATCGAAACCGTAGAATTTTATACATTAAAGAGTAATAAAAATAATATAAAAAAAACACAATAAAACAGCGTGTGAGATAAAATAAAATAAATTACATTTTGTAGTATTATAAATTTAAAAAAATAACAAAAATATGTAAAAGTATTTGTATAACTCACAAAAAGGTCTTAATAAAAAACATTATGTATGGTATGTTGTGCTGACTTTTTGACTAAATGAAAATAGATCGATTAAAAATACAAAGTACAATTATTTAAATATATTTTAATAATTATCGCATAAAAGACATAGAAAATGTATATTCAACCTGAATTAAGGGAATAAAGAATTAAGAGAAGACTCAAAACTGGCTTACCACTCTTTTTAGCCTTAAGTGCCGCTTCCTTGAACTCTTTTTGCCTGTGCATAAGAAGGAGTAATTGCTTATCGTTTCGAGTCATCTGCTTTGGTGAATTTCTGGCAGGAACCTTGGGACTGGATGATGATGGTTGCGGAGCAGTTGGCTGATGAGACTAAAAAGTAGGCTTTAGATGTACTAAACTAAATTTACTCTAAAAATTTTCGCTTTTAGAGAACATTATTATAGTATCTATTCAATATTGTATTTTAGTGGATATCTGCAATTATTTCGCTATAGAAGGCCCAAAGTCAACTACATAGAATGTTTAATATGACCCCCCCACCTCCCCCTATATATAATACTTGAACGGCCCCTTATCAGCATTTTTATAACTACCCTCAATGTTTACTCACTCCTTCAGTGGGTATTGGAGCATACCCAGCCGGTGTTGGTAATTCATCTACGGATATAGCTTTTCCTGCAGCGTGTAATTTAATCGCTTCTTGATACTGCTTTGTTATTCTCCCCATACGTCGAGCCTTCGATGAATTGCCTTGCTCTTTTGCTTTTGATTCTTGTTCCTAAAATAATATGTAAATAAAATACAAAATAATAGGAAACATTTTTATACTAATAATGTGAATATCTAACACAAATAGCAACGTAAATAGAAACTAGTCATTCGGGTATAACAAAACAAGATTACTAACAAATTTTAACAGCTACATCTTTATTTTCACTATTATATACCTAGTAAATAGGACTTATTCACTATCACTTCTATAAGAGAGATACATAAACCACTTCTCCATATGGGGCAGAATTTATGCTTAATTCAGTTGCAAGCAATGGCCCAGACTGTAGCACCGTCTAGGTTTGGTGAACAAAGCAAGCGTCTTGGAGGCTAATTTAGCCTTTCCTTCCGCAAAACTGAACGTCGTTCGATATGTCAATGCCCACTTCTTCTTCTTCTCTTCGAAGAGAGGAGTACCAAAAAAAGGGAACACGTGCGTGTGTCTCAGTGGAGAACATGCAAACTTGTGTATTCTTGGGGTTGAATTGGTCTATATTTAGTCGGCCCGATACTCCATGTAGCAGTGTTTAGACTTCTGACAGAAGTTCGTTCTGGTACTGATCGACAACTTCGCAAGAAATACCTGCATGGGTAATGGACTAGCCACGTAAAGAAAAAACAGTGCAATGTTATTTATCACCTCAGATATACATTATAAAACAAATAAATATCCATTAAACAATAAATATGTGAAATATAATCAGTACTTGAAGTACGATGCGGAACATCCCTAAAGTCGCAAAACACACGCAATTTTCAATATCTTTGTGATGATTATGTACTTATTTATATTTTTTTCAAAACAGCATTTCCAAGAATTAAAATAACTTGTGGTTATGTTATTTAATAAAAAAGAGATTTCTAAAACCGTATTCAAATATAATATGCTTCTTACCTGAAAAGCGGCCAGCCTTTGCTTCAAAGCTTCGTCGACTGTGGAGGCCGTTATAAGACCTTGAGGTGGAGCCACTGGTTCAGGTGCAGCTGCAAATTAAAAACAGTCGTATATTAGTACGTATTGGGGGGTAATGTTGTTCGCGTCCGTGAGAACTACCTAGCCACTACCTCACACGTGCCCCCTGGGTGGTGCCAAAAGAACAACAACGCCGAGTCTCGGGCGGCGGTCAAATATCCTGACCAAATGGGCCTAATCAGTTCATCCGAGTTGGAAGGAGGAAATGCCTTTTAACACCCGTTACCTTGTGGACTTGTACCACGAGGCCGGGGTCCTTGACTTCATTGTCCGGGACCAGAGGAAGAAAGCCTCAATAATAAATCACCCCTAATCTCAAGGTGTGGATCGCGCCGAAGGGATGAATGGCTGGGGGGCAGCTCAGCTACTAGCGCCAACCATGATGGACATGGCAAACATCATGAGTATCGCCTTCAGGTGAGAATGGGCGTCACCTCGCCTGCGACCTTTTAGATCGACCCTTCTCGTGGGAAAAATATGAGTGACCAATTAAATAAAATAAACAATAAATCTTCAACTTCTTCGGAAGAACAATCCACTGGTGTGGGAAACCAGGCTCCAGTGTTAGAGAATACCACTGGCCGAAAAGTACTTGTACAACAAGCATTCCATCCTAGCTTATTTCTGCAAAGACCTAGATCTGCATCAATTGGAAGCTGTCCAACACAATCAAGTGTCGAAGAAATGAAACCAACAGATGTACCCCTGGCACCTGCAGATTCACCACATCCTCCACCATGGCAGAAAGTGCCTAGTAATAGGAATAAAAAACGAAAGTTATCTACCAGCCCTCCTGTAGATACGACCAAAATATCAAATCGCTATGACGGTCTGCCCATTGATTTAACTGATGAAACAGATAAACCAATTAAAGAAAGCAAACCACCTCCAATCATTCTCTATGGAATTGAAGACCTAAAAGAACTAACTAATCTCTTAGAAACAGCAGTCAACAAAGATCAATTTACATACAAGATTATAAATAAAACTCAACTTAGGATTAGTACTGCAGATATTGATGCATACAAAATACTTATCTCCCTGGTTAGGGAAAAAGGCTTGATAGGGCACACTTTCAACAGAAAGGACAATAGATGTTTCCGGATTGTAATAAAAAACCTCCATCCGACGACACCAGTAGATATTATTAAAGAAGACATAGAGGCAACAGGAAACATAGTCACTGGAGAGATAATAAATGCAAGGTACGGGCCAAACAAGAATCCAACATCTACATTCTTTGTTAATCTAGTTAGTGGTCCCCACAATAAGGCTATTAAAGACCTAAAATATATCTACCACCAAAGCGTCACCATAGAAGAACCAAAAAAAAGAAAACACTAGTTCAATGCCAGAGATGCCAACAGTATGGTCATACCAAGAACTATTGTATGAGACCATACAGGTGTGTGAAATGTGGGCAATCACACAAGACATCAGAATGTCAAAAACGAGACCGGAGCACTCCAGCACTCTGTGCCTTGTGTAATGGACCACACCCAGCTAATTACAAGGGATGTGAGGTCTATAAAGAAATTCAAGCAAGAAAACAAAAAAATCCAATCAATATTCCTATACCAACTACTAAAACAGCATCTAAAACACCTAAAAAGACTGAACTGAATACTAGTACAGAGCCCAAGAGACAGGAAAAGAGTTTAAGTTATGCTAAAGCCGTAGAACCAGACCAAATAAACAACACATTCCAGAACAATTATGATAATACTCACATCCCAGGACAAATAAACGCGACCCTAGAACAAATTATTATAAAACAGACAGAAAAGTTTGACATCATCCTACAACAAATGAGCACCCTAATGTGCCTCATAACCAAACTCGTCGACAAACTGACAAAATGACTACACTACGGATTGCGACCTGGAACATCAATGGTCTTGCCACCAACAACCATGAAGTTAACCTGTTCATGTCCCAACATAAGTTAGACATTCTCCTTATTTCCGAGGCTCACTGTAAGGCTAATTCTATAGTAAGATTTCAAGACTACCACTGCTACATTACAAACCACCCTGACGGTACCAGTCACGCGGGATCAGCCATTATTGTAAAAAAGTCAATTAAACATCATCAAATGCCTAATTATGAAACGGAGCCTATCCAAGCAACCACTATAACTGTTCATGACAAAACAGGAGACATCAATGTGACAGCAGTATACTGCCCACCTAAGCACAACATGACGGAGTCAATGTACTCCGATTTCTTTAAGACTCTGGGACACCGCTATATTGTAGGTGGAGATTGGAATGCCAAACATACTTCCTGGGGCTCAAGATTGACGAATACTAGAGGCAAACAGCTAAAACTGAGCATAACTAAAAACAACTCAAGCACCGTATCCACAGGTGAACCCACTAACTGGCCTACTGATGCCAAGAAGGTGCCTGATCTCATAGACTTCTTTATTACTAGAGGATTAACGAAGTTATACATGAAACCTGAGTCTTGTTATGACAGCTCTACAGATCACACTCCGGTGCTCCTGACCATTAGTACTAACCTAATAGAGGTAACAAGATCAATAAGGTTATGTAATAAACGCACAGACTGGAACACATTCCGTGAGCACATTGAGGAATCAATAAATATGAAAATGGCCCTTAAAACTCCCGAAGATGTAGATGAAGCAGCTAAATACATAACGCTGTTAATACAGGAAGCATGCTGGATAAGTACTCCTGAAATTCAGACCCCCAACAATAGTGGAGTAAACAACTATCCCCTAGAAATAAAAAGGCTGTCCTTGAGAAGAGACGACGTCGAAGAATTTGGCACTTAAGTAGGCTTACTGTGGACAAAACCAACTTTAACAGAGCTGCAGAAGATCTCAAGTCACTATTGCAAAATTGGCATGATAACTCATTCCAAGCAAAGCTAGAAAGCCTAACTGCTACAGAGTCTACAAACTATTCGCTCTGGAAAATAACCAAAAGTTTCGACAGACCACAAGCTGCTAAACCACCCTTAAAGTGTGCTGAAGGATGGGTGAGAAAACCACAGCAAAAAGCAGACCTATTTGCTAAACACCTGTCAAAAGTATTCTGCCCAAATGATTCCGTAGACGATAAGTTTGATGATCAAGTGGACACAACACTAAACCAAGACCTTCAAATGAATCTACCACCAAAACCTGTGTCAGTACGGGAAGTTTGGAGAGTTATAAGGGAACTAAAGGATAGAAAAGCACCGGGCTTCGACCTTATAACCAAAGAAATAATTACACAACTGCCCCGAAAAGCCGTAACGTACATTACCACACTATGTAATGGCATATTAAGAGTCCAACATTTCCCAGATATATGGAAAGTATCTCAAATAATAATGATATATAAAGACGGAAAACCACCAAACGAAGTCACATCTTATAGACCTATAAGTTTGCTTCCGATACTATCAAAAGTTTTCGAAAAACTACTTCTTCGACGTATTCTTCCGATCTTATCTGAAAAAGGCACCATACCCAGCCATCAGTTCGGCTTCAGACAGCAACACTCTACGGTGGAACAGGTTCATAGAGTCTGCGACAAGATAAGAAAGACACTGGAAGAAAAAGAATACTGTGCTGCAGTGTTCCTGGATATACAACAGGCCTTTGATAGAGTCTGGCACAAGGGCCTGCTATGTAAAATAAAAAGTTATCTTCCACACTGCTACTTTTTGATATTTCATTCATATCTCTCGGGAAGATTATTCCAGGTCAAAGAAGGAGAAACAACATCAGATTTCTTTGAAATAAAAGCTGGCGTACCACAGGGGTCAGTGTTGGGTCCGGTACTCTACACTATATTCGCAGCTGACCTGCCTTGTTCAAGTACCATAACTACAGCCACGTTCGCAGACGATACCGCTATCCTGGCAAGTCACAAGGACCCAGTAATAGCCTCAAAAATCCTACAGAAAGGCCTAGATGATACAACTAAATGGCTTCAAAACTGGCGGATCAAAACTAGTACATCGAAATCGGTACAGGTTACCTACACCCTATGCAAAGGCAATTGCCCCTCAGTGAAGGTAGGAAATACCACCCTTCCTCACCGGAATTGTGTCAGATACCTTGGTTTTCATCTTGATAGGCGTATGACATGGAATGATCACATCAAAAAGAAGCGAGATGAACTGAATATTAGATATAAAAGCTACCTGTGGTTGCTAGGCCGAAACAGCAAACTGTCTGTAGACAATAAACTACTAGTGTACAAGTCGATCCTGAAACCTGTATGGATGTACGGCCTTCAACTATGGGGTAGTGCTTGTAACTCCTCCATCATGCGCATACAAAGAATGCAGAACATTATTCTCCGGACCATCAGTAATGTCCCCTGGTATGTGACTAATGCTGAGATCCACGAACACCTGGGAATGCTCACAGTGAGAGAAGAAATAACAAATATCAAGACCAGATACAGGGAACGGCTAGCAACCCACCCCAATGCCCTTGCACGACAGCTCACGATGCAGAGCTATGTTAAACGCCTTAAGCGAAAAAACATTCTATAATGTGAAGAATTATGAGTAGATGTTCTCACTGGAGGACACACTCCGAACGAGATAACCATCCAACATATTTGCTAAAAGTGAAAGCACTGATTGCAGATGGCGAATATACAAAAAAAAAAAAAAAAAAAATTTTCGCACGTAAAGATTGGATTTATTTGAATGTTATTACATTTAAATAATTTTAGTATGGTGTTGCCAGATATTAAAATCAAATGTTGCTACTTTAGGATCGTGTAACTACAGAGACTGAATTATATTGGTAGTAAGTATTGTTTTGTAGAATATAAATTTTATTAAGCAGTTAAAATCACAGTCGAGAATGGCATTAGGCATATAGCAGTAATAGTTTCTATGTTGGGATATCGTAAATAATTTGGTTTATAATTTCAAATACTTAATCATACACCATTTTAGGGATCCTATAAAAAATAAAAGGTGACAATTCACATATGAATCTATTGATATGATAAGCTATGGCATTATCCTATCTATATCTTTTATATATATAAATAGAGCGATATGAAAACTAAAATCTTAATTGGACATTTATGTTTAGTAGTAGAAGCATTATTATTTTATAATGGAAATGCCTGTAAGAATAATATTACAGGAATAATCAACAAAAGAACTAAAACAGATTTGCTGTACTTTATCTTCAATTGCCATCTACATAGGTAACATACACCATATTTGCCGTAATAAGGAAACACCTAATGTGTATTTGATTACATAAATAGTAAAGAAACTTAATATCATTTTATTGTGCTATCATTTTACTATGTTGTAAAAATATCTAAAAGACAACTTTTCAGTGGTAATTAAAAGATCACGCCATAATTTATTTACTATGGATACGTAAATTGAACCTATATATATATATATATACATATATTTCTTGTAGGCTAGTATCCTTCTGGGCCTGACACACGCTGTTGACTTTTTGGATCTATGACGGTTTCATCCTTTGACACTCGCTTGTAACGTGAACGAAAACATATTTCACGTTAGGGGCGAGTGTTAAATTCGCACTTTAACCGAGTCTATTGGTACACCGCCTGGGTTCGAACCAACGACCTTAGGGATGAAAGCCACGGGGCCAACACTATATTTCACATACATAAACGAACACAACATTAAAAATACATTATTTGATGGTTTTGAAATACATAAAAATTAATACAATTTAATTGTTTTTAATTATATTTTGACATTTGCATACTAATTTGACTTGGTTGATAGTGTGGTTTAATTTAATTCATTCATCTTGTGTACCGCTTTTTTTGCAAATAAAGGTACGTATTTATAATAATTCTTCCCAAAATTATTGTTTATTATTATTATGTTAGAAAATAGAAAATAATAAACATACCCTCAGCTTGTGTCTGATCTTCAGTAGTCTGACTTCCAACCATAGCAGCAATCGCTTCAACAGTAGGTAGTTCATTCAAATCCATTTCTTCGCCTGCTTTATACGCATCTAATACAATGTCAAACTGCTTTGCTACTTTCAAGTATTCAAGAGCCATTACTTTATTGTCAGCATGTTTGTTTGCTAGAGCCGCTGCTTTAAATTCTTCTTTTCGTTCTGAAAGTATTAAGTATTTGTACTTTATATTTTATTCTGTATACATGTAATAAAAAAAACTAAAGCAAAAAATTTTGGTTAATAACAAAAGTTAAATGTATTCAATAAGAGAGATTGCAGCGGTATTTATCTCTAAAACTGATTTCCAATGAAATGACTTGATATTTTCTTTTTATAACTGGTTAAAATATTAAAGCAACATGATGAAATCAGTGCCTACGTAAGATTTTTCTAAGTCCCTCCTCTTTTGCTGGATCCATTGCAGGTTCCACTGGTAATTGTGGAGGTGGAATTTGTGGTTCTGGGGGTGTTGAAGGTCTTTGTCCAAGTGATTCTGAACGTGGGGGTGGAGCTGGAGCTCTTCTTGAAGGTAAAGGAGGTTCACTGGAAGGGATTGTTTCTGGGATTGATGGTCTAATTGGAACTTTTTCAGGGACAAGAGTTGGAGTGGTATCAGTTTTCTTGCCCACAATGACAGGTGGTGGAATATCTTCATCATTTATAGGTTTTCCTGATTTTGCTTGCTTTAATAAATCATTCAGTGTCTTAAGGCCTCTTGCAAACCTGTAAATTTATACACAATACTGAAAATAATACATATATTATAATAAGCTATAATATATAATACAGCTATAAGCTACATATCTGTATAAATTTAATATATCCTATATCATTATATGTTAATTATGCTTTACCAAGAACCAAATTCTTTTATCTAGTAATTATTATTACTAATTATAGCAATAATATATAAATAGAATTAAACATAAATATGCAGCTTTCAAGTCACAAGTGTCAAACACTACTCAAAATATAACATAAGATTTGCATAGCTTAATAAATTTACTTCATTTTATGTTTAGAATATTAAATTATCAAATACATCTTACCTCCTAGCCCGACCACTTTCTCCAATCTCTTTAGCATTTTTTTCGGCTAGTGTATAATTTGATATCCTATCTTGTAACAAACTGACTGTACTATTCTCTGCACTCATAGCACCAGGAGGTACAGGTGCTGGCCGGCTGATCTTTGGTGGAGATTCATCTAAGGCCAATGCTTGGAGCTCATTTAATAAATCGGGATCATCATCATCTAGGAATATACATAAAACATGGCAAATAAGTGCTATAAATTATAATTAAATTCTTTTAATCCACCTTATTTATAACATGAGCAAAATACAAACAATAAACTAATACAATGAAGTAGAAACCCCTTACCCGAACCCTCATCATCTGATGGCACATCTTTCAAGCTTGCAGCAATCATAGCATCCAAATCAGCTGATGCAACAGGAGCTGGCTTTCTAGGTCTTCTCATCTTTCCACCACCACCACCAGTGATTGCCGCAAGCTCTGCTTCCAGATCATCATCTGATATGTCCATAGGTTCTGCATCGTCTAAGTCGGGAATATCTATAAGTCCAAACTGAAACAAAGGGTTTGTTGACACAAACAGCTGATAAGAAAATGTAGTTTATGATCACTCTCTGCTGCTAAGTAGATTCATATATTCACCAATTTTCATTAATAAGTTCAATTTCACACTACGTACTAAATAAAGAGCATATAATATGTTAAATGACTCACTTGCGACAAATTGCTGCTTTTTCCAGATCTTGGTTTCCTAGACATTTTTCGCAGCACTTTAAGCTGTAGTTATGCTACAATAATTTAAGTGAACAAACGGGCACAATTATGTGGAAATAAAAAATATAAATAGATTCTCCTGCAGTTTTTACCAAAATAAAAACAAATCACAAAATCTGATTAAAGGCTCATTCATCCATTCAAGAATCAAGATCTGAATGTCTGATCTGAAAGTAATCTGTACAAATGTCAAATTTCAATTCTATGTCATTCAAGATTACATTCATTAAAATATTCATTTCCAGAGCGGTGTCTCGTAGTAATAGGAATAAAATTATCAAAATGTATGCTTTCAAGAATAAATTCCGACAACTAGTTTTTATAACGGCTCGTATTCCCATAAATAGTTTCGCAGTAATAGTAATCCTTGATTAATTATCTGTTTTTATTTACACATGGCAGTAAAAACTCATAATATTTTTAATCTGTTCTCCCATCTCTGGAAGAGTGACGTATGAACGGCCGAAACGAAAACGAAAGAAAAGCCTCTTGTGCCGTTGTTATCTTCTATCATAACTGAAGAATGGAGACAAACGGCCAAGTAAATGGGCTTAAATCTAAAAAGAAAGACAATGGAGACGGCAAGGATAATTTATGGTAACTTTTCGGTGTTCATTTAAAACTTACATGCAGCATCCATATAGGGAATCCAATGTGTCACACCTATGATGTCAAGAGTCGTACCTGAGAAATATGTGACCTAGCTGCGACGTTTTACCTTTGTTTGTGAAATAATCACGGAATGCGTCTATTGCCATACAAGTGCCACCTCAATGGTGTTCTCCATATAGTATGTTTAAGTACATATATAAACAATTTTGGTTTACAGGTCTGCAATCTTAGAAGAAGTTCAGAATCAAGGGAACACAAAATTACCATCTAATAAGAATGTATTAGTTCTGGGTGATAATGAGACGGGTAAAACAACACTTATAGCTAAATTACAAGGCGTAGAAGACCCTAAGAAGGGTTCAGCTCTCGAATATGCATATATAGATGTAAGAGATGAATATAGAGATGGTAAGTTATAAAAAATATATCAGTAGTCCTTTATATACAACACATTATCTTTAAATTGACTTGATAACCTTATTTCTTACTGAAATTTTGTTGGCCTTATTGATTGGCTGATATAATTGATATGGTTGGTTAACATGCTATATGTCAAATATCTTTTTTTTTATTACAAATGTTAACTTAAAAGAATTTCTATAACCATATTGGTACTCACAAAGCCAGGTCACTTTCTACACAGTAAGCCAGTTGTTAAGAAGCTCGTCTTAGACAATACACACACACACCTTTACTGAAAACATACAATATTGTTCTGTTCTTTGTCGGTCATTCATTAAAGTATTTGACAATCCTTTAATAACTTGTATATGGTTAACTCATTCTAATGGATACCTCGCTAATGCATGTAAATTGTTTTCAGACCACACAAGGCTTAGTGTATGGGTTCTAGATGGAGACCCAGGGCACAAAAATTTGCTCAAATTTGCATTGAACACAGAAACATTCCCGCACACACTAGTCATCTTAACGGTGGCTATGACCACACCTTGGGGTATAATGGACCAGCTTCACACCTGGGCTGCAGCGCTAGGTGATCATATAGAAAAATTAGGCCTCACACCAGGTTTGTAGTATATTTCTTACTTGATATATCTAAAAATTATTATCCTAGGGATTCAAATGCAGTTATCACAAACAGAATAATAACATAGAACTAGGTGAGGGCATTATTATTACGATAGATTGTTGTCACCTCACAGTAGTTTATTTTATACACCAAATGGCATTATTTAAATTCAAGTAAACAAATTTAAACTTTTTTAAATTTCTAGCCATAGAAGATTAAAACAATAAGTATCAATAATAAATGAGAAACGTCTCATTTAGATATTTTAACCTTCTATGTGAATTATTATCACTAAACTTGCCTCGTGTTAATGACACCTTTGCTTACATTTTTGCATTTTATTTATGGAACAGTTAATTATTATTAAAAATTCTCATATCTTTCATAAGCAATGATTTCAATATCTCATTCACCTTTAAAGCACATTTATATTTTCACGGTGTCACCCGCGCGAATTCAATATTAGCGCGATTTTAAATAACCTTTGCTTAATGACAAACAATTTTTTTTTTAATTTGAACAAATGGAATAAGCAATCTGAACAAACTCTTCAGATTTATAATTAAGTAATCTATAAAAGTAAAAGTAAAAAAAGAGAGTATATATACACAAGACAACAGTCCATTTATTGTTGTCGTGTAAATGATCGATAGCGGTCGCCGTTAATGTAGATCTGACGCAGTACTGCATCCTAATTATATACCAGTAGGCAACTGAGAATTCATAGAACACGTTACCAAATAACAGAACAACGTTACGCACGACGAAACGTTTTTTAGATCAAGGTCCTAATTTGGCATGGATTGATATTTTTTTATGGCTAGTACGGGCTTTACCCGTATTATTTCTCCGAGAATAGAACACACGGCATCCCAGTTATACACCATGTGCCTTAACCAGTAAGCCACGGAGCCTATGCGATTATTTCTGAATTTAACAATCTATCCATAGAAAAACTTCTTATTTATAATACTTGTATCGAAGGGTTTTTGAAGGCTAACAAGTTGTATAACCAAATCAACAAAAACAAAATTACAAGTAACACTGAAAAATTATAGACATATCAAACTTCTAAAATAATACAAAAAAATTATAAAAAAAACTAAAAGCTAATCTCAAGGATTCATGAATCACAATGCATTACAAAAGTATAAGAAATACAAGAATTACAATAGTGACGATTGAGCCGGTTAGGATTTGGTTAAGAAATGTTTATGTGGAACTTTAAAAGAGGTTAGTAAATGAGTCAGGCAGCGTATTCCACAACTTAATTCTGGATATCCTAAAAGAATTGCTTTAAAAGGATGAGCTGTGAGATGGAATTACCAAAAAGCATCTATTAGAGGAGCGTAACATAGTTATAACAAAGAATTTATACCGAATTATTATATATATCGTAAAATTATCATTACCAAGAACATGTTATGTCATCACATATGTCATGTGAGTATTTGGAGATATTTCTTAATACGTAGCTTTGTGTCAACACTCATGTATTTAAATTTTCTAATTTATAAGCTCCGTGCATTTGATCGGAAGAAAGAGATGGAAACATGTTAATGCTATTCGTAAGGCTGATTGTTTCACACAATTATGGCGTACACTTTTATACTCAGGTTTTCCTATTCTGAGCACGTATTGTTTATGCAACAGTTAGATTGACGGGTCTATGATCCTTCTTTTACTTGTAGGAGATGATCCTCTAAATCAGTGTTTCCCACCTTTTTTGCCATGCCCCATCTTAGCCTTTGTAAAATTATTATGCACTATGTAACGTACTTAATTTTTAATATTAAAAAAAATCACTTTAGAAACTTAAGTTAAGGAAACACTAAGTTTTTAAAACATATTTAAAACTGAAATATACATTTTCAAATAGCCCCCTTAACAATCAAGTTGCATCAACAATCACTGCTCTAGGTTAGCTGAGAAACTTTTGAGCTATATGAAGAGTTGAGCTCTAAAGTAGTAAAAAAAAATATCTACGAATCTTAAGAAATCGTTATTTTATTCAGTACTAGGCCGTGTCGCGATAATTCTATTGTATTTTAATGTAAGCCATTCCTGATAAATAAATAACTAGAAAAAAACCTGGATCAGGACACTTATCACCTAGAGGTATGAATATACCTGTTAGACCTATTCTTATACCAAACTTAAACGATGGTAAGCCGTCGCGCCATTTCGGATTTTTTTAAAAATAAATAGATTACTTAACAGTAATTTTTTAAAGTCAGAATATAAAAACGGTCACATTACAATCACCCCATTGATAACAGCTTTCTTTATTATATCACAATGCAACATGCTAGCTAAAACAATTAATTCGTGAAAGTACTGTATTGTATTAAAGTGTGTCAGGTAGATAAAATATCTTTCGTATTTAGTTGTTACTGTTACAATCGGTCTTCCGTGATGCGATTTTCGTGTATCTAAATGATATTGACTCACAATTTGCCGAGTGTAAATATTCATGCTTGGACATCGTTTCTTGCATTCCTGGATTGTGAACTGCAGTTGGTTTTATAGAGCTCATATCTTTTCGAGTCGAAATTAAATGCATTTAAATTTATAGGACGTATGTTTCGTTCTTTATTGAGATGTGATCTTAGTATACAGTTGCGTGTGTATTAAATATATATTTCTTATTATTTTATTGGTTGATTTGTTTCGATGTATTATTTAATTTATCAGCTGCAACAAAACCACCTTATTTGGAGAGAGAGATTCACAGCCGAGACTTGGCTTTAAGTAAAAGTCCCATTTTACGTAGTACCTCTATAACTCAAACATCAAGGCAGACGCCAAAAAAATCGAGTTAAAAAGTTTTCGACTTATCGGATTTTGACTAAGGCGGAGGCTTGATTCGACTTGTAGAGGTTAAGATTTATTCTTACGATTACTTATTTTTCTTCGACCTATAGACGTATTAAGTTTCAAATTACCGATTTATATAAGTTGTAAAATAAAACATCTGCTATGTTCGAGATACAGAGATCCACTGATTATTTCGACACAGAGGGTTAAGGTTTTTGGGTTTGACGGGAAGAGAACAATTTTTTTTAGTTTTGGGGGAATTTCGACATATGGAGCTTGGACTTATATTTTCACATAAGAGTCATATTTAGCGCTTAACTTGAAGAAGTTTTATTTAATGCTAAGTACTGGCCTAAATCAAAATCAATGTCATAAAATCAAAATTCTTAAAGAAATATTATCACGTGAAACTTTATCTGTATTATATTTCATTCACAACTAAGTCGTGAGAATCAAGTTTATTTACATTGTTTGAATGGTCCTATATTTTTATGATGGAATTGTTTTATTTAATATTATGATAATTTATTCCAAATTGAGGAACAGGTTCTTCTAAAGAATATTTAAAGATGAGAATGGAAAACGGTTGTTTATTAGCATTTTATTTATCTTATGTCATCATTATAAAAGCTTTATAAAAATAACTTGCCTCAATATTTTAAATATTTTCATTTTTATATAACTTGTTTTGAGTCTCTATGGTTATATGGAAACGCATAGTAGGTGTAATATGACTGTAAAAGCAAGTCTAATTCAAAATTAGATGTCTATTGTAATATTTACCTTAACATACGACATTACTATTGACGTAAATTTAATTAAGTACATATTCAATTGCGGTATACATTTGTTGGTTGTACTAAAAATTAATTGATGATTAGACAGGGTATTATAATGGGTACCTATATTTATTAAAGCATAGTAAGCTTTTGCAAGTAATAGTAATAATAATCATACGTGCTAAGCTGTGAGTCATAATTCATTCATTATGCGCGATCTGTCTTGGACAGAGATGTGCGAACGTCTGAATCATCATATATAAGCACTCCTAACAGTTAACACCGTAATAAATGATTACATATATTATATGTAAAATCAGCTAAGACTTCTGACAGTACGATTTCATTTCTTAGAACTGATATTTAATTTACCATCGAATTTAAAAATGAACAGGTGAACAAATTTCCTTAGTCACAGCTGTGAACTCTGATCGAGGCACCGTTTTAATAGACAGAAGTTTACATTTTAAATTTATTGTGTTTAAAGAATATAGTTTAATAACTATGTCTACTAAATGACTAAAATGTTATTAGATTTTTTAAGAACGAATTTTAATTGATTAATACAGTATTTACAATATTCTTCACCGGCATCGTAACAATAATAATAAAAAGTGCGTGCGTACAAAGTACACATGTCAGAAGTAAAACTTCTTTGGCAAACTAATTTTTAAGTCTTGTTCATATTTATACAAATCTAAAACTAGATTTCCGCGACTTAGAGGGAGGGAAAAAAGGAGGATATGTTAGGAATTTAATTGTTAAAATATTATAAGTGTCGAAAATTAATACAAATTATAAATGTCGATTTAAAAACACGTGGTATTTTAATTTACAATCGCTATCTCCCTTTTCTTCGACATAAACGCTGCTCATCTACGTGACGTTTCCGTAAAAAATTACCCTCATGCGCCTAAAGAAGTTTTACTTCAAAAATATCTTTATGAAATAGATATCACGACTAATATCTTGGTTACTCATGACATTGCTCCTTATAATTTTTCCTTTTCACAATCTAGTATTACCATAGGCGCGGTTTTAGGATAGTGTTATCTAGACAAACAATAGGTTTGAAAATGAAATATATGATTTCATGGGATGCTTTTAGATCTCCAAGGGGCCTATGAAAATATTGACAGCACTGGCTCTGATCAAAACACCCGTAAACGAAGTCATTTACAAATCATAACAATAGAATATAGGTTTTTATTATCTATATAAATATTTTTTCTTTATTCGACATCCAAAGATTTGTAAAAATTAAGAATGTGAAATAAAAAGAGAAAAATTTAATTTCTATTCTTTACTATGAAAGTTTTTTTTTCAGAACAAAAGCATCAAAGTATAAAGCAGCAAGTTCAAAAATGGCTCAGATATACTGAACCAGGGGATGAGCTGGAACCAGCGTCTTCGCCAATGAAGCGGTCTTCGCGGAACCTATCAGATGACCTTGATAGTGATGATGAAGACAATACCCTGCCTGAGAAGGTCCTTACCACCAACCTCGGTTTGGATATTGTTGTTGTGGTTACAAAGGTGAGACTTGAATATTGCCATTTCAAAATAAACAGGAGCTAATTCTGCTAAAATGTTGTATAATAAATGTATTTACTTAAATGCTTTTACGCTTGATCGAAGTAAAAACTATTTGTACGGTCGTATCTGCAAGATTATAACGTAAGCACTATAGGGGGGAGGGGGTATTTGATTTTCTTATTTGGTGATACCGTCAACAGTAATTTGACACAACATTGTCTATGCTTGGAAACGAAATGCATTTTCGAGGATTCCTACAAAAAAATACAATAAAAATACAATGTACTATAATTTTTTGAAAGCTTTGCTTTTGTTGACAAGAGGAGGGGGGGATATACATTGCATTAAATCTGCTTACGTAATACTTGAACGGCCCCATATCTGTAATTACAAAATACAGTATTTATCTTTGATCTAGTAGTCGCGACAACCTTATGCTTTAAGAAACACCCTTATGTATTGACGTTCATAATCCTTAGCTCTAATGTTTTGTCCCTATAACGCTCGCGCCGTTGTAAAATAATTTAACTGAGGTTTATATATTTTTTAAGCTATTGCATAGATTTTATCGCGGGCTTTGAGCGCGGCGACCAAGAAGTACCGTAACGAAAAAACCTTACGTTAGAGTGGGATAGAACGCATACTGCGCATTCCCATCTCTCTGACGAGATCGGTGACGTAGCGTGAACGGGGCCGGTGCAGCCGGTACGCGTTAGAGTGAGACGGACTATATAGGCGTTTTAGTCTGGTAGAGTGGTAGATTGATATAAAATCAAAGAAAAAACTTGAATTAATATCAAAGAAAAACAAATACTGCATAAATAAATAATTATAACTGCATAAGTTGATAGAAAATGCTATGCAATAGCTATACCGCGGCAGTCCCCGAGGGCCACACGTTTTTTTACATATGCTTATTTTTAGACTGACTACATGAGCACCCTAGAGAAAGAGCACGACTACCGGGACGAGCACTTCGACTTCATGCAGCAGTGGATCAGGCGGTTCTGCCTCCAATATGGCGCTGCTCTGTTCTACACAAGCGCTAAGGAAGATAAGAATTGTGACCTGCTTTACAAGTATTTGACGCATCGGATATATGGCCTGCCTTTCCGCACGCCGGCGCTTATTGTGGAAAAGGACGCGGTTCTCATGTGAGTTCAAAATTATTTTTTTATAGATTAAAAATATTCCACAGATTTTGGTAAAGCTTTTCTTAAGAAAAACCATAGATAATAACAATAAGTTTACTAGAAGTAAGTTTAAAAGTTTACTTTTTAGAAAAACTAATTTGTAGCATAGTTTCTTTGATAGACACAAATGGTTACAAAATGTTTTATTTATTTTTCATGTGTTCCAGAAAACACATCGAAAATAAAAATATAAATGTTGAAGCAGGTGCATTATTTAACTGAATAACAATTAATTTTTCTTTTATTATTTGGTAGTAAATACTGTATATAAAAATGAATTGCTGTTTGTTTAACTTGAAAACGGCTGGACCGATTTGGGTAATTTTGTTCTTGAAATATTTGTGGAAGTTCAGGGAAAGTTTAAACGAAAGAGAAACATACATAAATAAGTAAAGAAAATACTACAAACGACCATTAAATTTTCCAATAAAAACTGTTTTTAGCTGGGAAATATTTGTTGTCTTTTTAGAAATATAAAATTGTCACTTGGTTGTTATATATTAATAGCCTTTAGAAATTTGTGTTTCATAGCTGCAGTATGAGGTCCGATCTCATTGGTCTGTTTTAAAAAAAATTTTATTAAGTTTGACGCTAATATATGTAGGAAGTACGAAGTTCACCGGGTCATGTAGTTTTAAATTAATTTTAGACCTGCTGGCTGGGATAGTATGAAGAAAATTAGTATATTACATGAAAACATACAGTCGTGCACACCGGACGACTACTACAGAAATATCATCGTACAACCCGCTACTAGGAAGGTAAATAAAATACACTGCATATTTAAATACGCCTTATTCTGTTTAGGACTCCCACATAAAACTGCGATGCGATGCGAATTTCTGCGATACGATTTAGAGCGACAAACCGTTTGGTAGGGCGACCATTCCTTCGTAGTCAGCCGTACTGGACGTGTTTTTAGGACGCGTAAGATGGATCGCAAAAAGATAATTGCACTGCTGTTATTGTTAAATAGGTATAAAAGAAAAAGAAGATTCTGGGTTCATCCATTTATTACGATTATGAACTCTGATGCAAACTTTCACAGACGCTCTTCCACGCATCTTGCTTAATAAATTTATTTTTATAATGTTCATCACTTGTGTCCCAAAGGACGGGACGCTCCTCAATTAAAAATATTAAAAAATCCATATCATATTCCGCAATTTTTTATAAACAAAGAAGGCGGCGGAGCTGTCTCAGAGCGGACTAAAATGGCGTCACCAAGGATGACGTAATATGGCAAGAATGTGCGATGCGAAGCAGATTTGAACTTCTTGCGGTGCGTTCGTGCGAATTCGCAGTTTTGTGTGGGAGCCCTTAGCCCCACGGTTCAGTGTCTTTAATTTGCTAGGATTATATAACTTCTGTTTCATTAAGACCCATACATTCAAGTATTTTCAGAAAAAAAATAGTTTTTTTTCTCTAGACCTTGAATAGTAGGTTTGCAGGGAACAAATCGTTAAATCAAGAGTGGTTTTTTTTTATATCCAGAAAAATGTTCTTACAATATTCGTAATCTATCTCTGGTAATCGAAACATTGACTAACAATATCCACATTCTAATTTTAAATTAGTTTTAATTAAGCGTTTAAACTACTTTGAACCCTTTTGAAAAAGTAAGCACTCGCAGAACTTAACATCGGAGTTCTATTTTTTTTCACCTTGAAAGTTAGTTTTACAAATTAATAAAAAACAGACTTACCATATACTAGCAACGACAACTATGTCCTTTTTCTATATGTCTAATCTATTGTTACGCAGAGCAGTTTCAGGACTGATGACGTCAAGACTAAATAGATTAAACAATTATCATTGATCAAACACTTACAGAGCGGTGGTCTCCGAGAAGCAGAGATAACGTCAGAGGATGAGCAGACATTCCTCCAACGACAGCAGTCGGCGTTGTTAGCTGGAGCCGCTGCACCTCGGGCTGACTCCCCGCTGAGGACTGCGCAAAGGACAGCCGCGCAGGTAATTTTGTTCTCGGCACGATATTTACGAGTTTTTTTTTTCAATCTTTCGTTATTAAAAGTACATGCGTAGACCTCATATTTTAATAATGACTTTAAAAAATTATAGTTTATTTTGAGAAACCGCATCCTTGCTTAATGTGTACTAGTTGTTTTTATTTGAAAATTGGTGCTAAAATAGACAATCTTCTTGCTTTAAAATTGTTTGCGTTTTTATTAAGTTATTATGATTTTTTGAAAGTTGTTATGTTTATTCCTATCGGATAGTTACAAAATTTTACGCTTTGTTACGTAGGACTAATAATATTGAAATAAACGGTTCTTACCTAACTTTACAAATTTTTATTTTAATAGAGCAGGCTTAATAGAGACTATCAAGTGCTATTGCTAAAAATATTTAATTTAATAATATGTTGCTAGCTTGACGGCACAAAAATTGGCATGGGCGGCGGTACGCCAGGCAACGAGGGTGTTCTAGCCAATTTCTTTAACTCCCTGCTGTACAAGAAGACGGGCTCGCCCGGCGCACGCGCAGACGTCTCACCGGGCGCAGTGTCAGCTGCTGCTAGATCTGACGCCGCGGCGGAACTGGATCGACTCACGCGCAATAAAAGACCACCGCCTACTGTCGATCTGAACTCGTCCGAGTGCTAGTTACGCAGGTAAATTATGGGAACGAATTTTATGAGAGAATTATGTTCGGTTATTTTTAATTGCCCTTAAAGCTGCCTAAATTTTTTTTTTAAACTTTCTGCATTTAAATTTCCAAAAAAAAAAAATTACGTTTAATAACGATAGTTACAATATTTTACGCTTTGTTACGTATTAATACTCTATTAAGGTTAAAGAAGAGCTATTTCTTATCTCATTAGTTCCTTAATAATATTATAGGTAGAGTGCGGCAAGTGTACTCAAGGAAGGCAGGACGTTCGCGTCACGCCGCTTTACCACACGACTTCCCGCTTACTCGATACGAGAGGCTGTCAGCTATTCTCCATACTTCCATGAAAGGTATCTTATTGAAGAATGCTTATCGTTTTAGAGAGACGTAGAAAACTTATACGAATTCAACGGCTAGGAATTTGAAATGTTATATTCTATACCACAAGCACGGCAGATATTTAGAAATTTAGCCATAAAGCCATAATATCTCTTTTTTTCTGGAAATTCGTCAGGAAGTCTTGTAATGTTTCGAGCGACTTACAGTGGAATGGAATAAAAAATCCTATTTAATTCTATGTAACACTTGTTCTATGATATTAAGTATTTATTTAGGTAGCTTCACGTTCTAAGTTGAATAATGGTTTTAAGCACTGTCGACCGCTTACATGATACTTTTAGTGTCTATCTAGTAATGGACAAAAAAACTAAATGTTTTAACTGCTCAAAGTACCATGTGGGCGGCAAGCGATTGTAATTCTTGAGATTAATCGGTGGTTTTGTACTGTATATATTAAGTTAGTTTAGTGATCAAATGAAACATAATTTATTAAATTTTTATTTGTGGGGTAATTTAGTAAAAATAACTTAAACGAAATGTGTCTATTTAATAAATTAAAATCCGCAATTTTCAGTTTTTTTCTTTGTGATAAATGGTGCAGTACAAAACCATATCGAATTCCGTATGATGTGATCTTCTGTGAAGACTGAGTGATTTCGACTACAATTTATCATACAATATAATTTTTTTTTCTACATTACTAATTATAAAATAGGCAATCACAGATTTGATTCCTGTCAGTATGCACTTATCATTGCCACCAGTGCAGTGGAATCAGTGTGACCATTTTATCATAGATAAATTATCATTATACGGTAAACGACTTAATTCCAACTCTTTGCTAGTTACATATATATAAAAATATGATTAAATTGTAGTTAAAATCATTAAAAGGATGTTTTGCACAATGAAGTCACTATTTGTACAAACTATTTAGTTGCGTATTACAAGTCTATGGTTTTGCACATTATTCTATTCTCATTGTTTTATAAGGCGCAACTAGAAATAAAATGTGAGTGACACTGAGCTGTATGGAGTCATCAAGATGTTTATATAAAATTACAGAATATCAAATACAGATACACAAATGAAATTACATGTTGAATGGTACCTTTGGGGTTTTTGAAGTCAGTTGAAAAGTAGTTTTTTAATAGACTTGTAATATCCAGCTGTCTTATTGATTGTATTGTGTGATGGTATTTATTAATTTAATGAAAAATAATTATTTTAAAATATTTTAATGGCGAATATATATGTATAATGTGATTAAAAAAGAAAATACAAAAATAACTTTTAATATATAATTTTGGTAATTGTTTTTCATTAAGTTTATTTTATGATAGTTTTGTTTTGCTCATAATAATATTATGTAGTGAAATTATAAAATTTTATAAATTAGCCGATTTGAATACCTCACGAAAAGTATCCTTTTTAAACAGATTTCACTCTGTTTATGGAGGGGTCAAAGGGGACTAATTTGTGAATGATACAGATAATAAATTCTTTATTGCGTTCAATGTGTCAATTACGTTTGACGTTCGCCTAACATTTTCGTGAGGTAAAATTAAAAGTAATGGTGGCCTTTATTATTTCGCAGCCAAATTTATTTCAGAACCTCCATTCGAAATGTATATCATGTTACTCAAAGATCGGTTTATGTTTGGTGCAATACACAACATTCCAAACTTGGTTTGGTGCTTATTATTATAGTAAATGATTGAATAATATATGGAGTTTCATTTCTTGCCTTGTGCTCTCTTACACGAATCCTAAAGGTCACTATTATAAGCTTTTTTTTAGTTTTAGATTAAATGGCTCTTAGGAGTGCTTAAACGTTTTTACTTTGAAAAACCGCAGCAATTCAGCGGTAACTTGAATTACATCATCATATTTATAAATAAGCATTTCGAATTTGTATAATCCTTATGAAATGGCAACTCAAAAATGAATGAATCGTAAAAGATTTCGATAGATAAGTGAAGTATTTGATAAATGGCAAGCTTTTGATACGAAGACGGATATGTATATTTTTATAACGCGGAGTTAGGCTTTGGCATATCGATTTCTTGGATATAAGTATTATGAGAATTCATTATGAATAGGCAGCTTAATATTTAGTAATAATGATTTTACTTTACAATACAGCTGTTGAAAATATTAATTAGACAATTAAACATTTAATTTTTTTCTATCAATGTCCTTTTTATGAAAAAAAAATACTATCTGGTCCAAAATCAATATACTTTTTGTGTTACCAGGTTCAATTTTTTTTAGCACCAACAGTATGTTTATGTAAATGGATTTAATTAATTACATCATTTTTCATTTACTAGTCACACTGCACGTTGTTTTTTTAAACTCATACTTACGTAATAATTTACTTTTCTGTGATATTTTTGATGAAAAAATAGGTGACAGATTTTTCATTTTTACATTTGTTAGCCTTGAGTAGGTATTAGTTTCAACCTCGAAAACCCTTTAATTTACAGGAGGCCTTTGTTTTATTCACGAAATTTAATGTTGATCCTTTGGCTTTGTTTTAACAGTCATAAATTTAATGCGGTTAATTACTCCCATAATATTTCTAATTTAGTAGAAATATTGCAGTTACAGCCTTCTAACTTTTATAATATATCACGTATTTTAGTAATTTGTAACTGTTCTTCTTATAACAGTCTAAAGATATTGTTACGCGAAAAAAATTAGAATCACTAGCTAATATTCTAAAAACTAACTATTATATGTTAATGGCGAAGTCTTAAATTCTTTAAATACATTTAATTTAGAAATTATACTTACACTTGTCTTCGTAAAATTATATGTTTACGAAGTTTGAATGTGTACTTTACTTTTAATAGGTTAAATAAAGCTTAGCTGCTATTGTACAGACGAAATATTTATTTTAATTTTATTAATTACTTTGAAAAATAAATGACACGAAACTAATGTGCTATTTTATTTTGGTAGAACTATCTTTAATTTACTATATCTTTTATTAATTAGGTTAAAACACTCGCACTGTGTTTATTTGATTGGACTTTTCTTTCTTTCTTTTCGATTTGAATGCATAAAGCAGATTAATTTAAATATCCTGTATAATAAAGTTTTTTCTTTCTTTGATAATAATAATAATAAAAATATAAATAAATAATTAAATACATAATGCCTTGCAAATCAAAACTTTAGTGATAATATGGTCTTCGCTTCGGTTATCTGACATACTGCAGTTGGCACTACACGGTACACGGCCGCATAAGCCGTAACATATTTTAATGCTGTTAAGTAAATCATTTAGTATTTATCATCTGTGCTTATGCTTATATTATCGTTACTGTGTACTGTCGAAGCCTGAAAGTATTGTGTAGACGTCAAATTGATGTGTTAAAGCAAACCTTCAAAATTATACGAATAATGACAAATTGACAACTCACTAGTCAGTTTCCATTCGACAACGATTTGTGTTTCGCGTTTCTTACTTTCGTGTTTCTTGTTCACTTTATAATATGTATTTAATGGAATCATGTTCGTAGAGATTTGTTTGATAGATCGACGATGTAATTTATCGATACGATTTATACATTCCTTTCGTCTTGAATTGGTTATTTTGCCAACTGAATAATACAATTGTTGTATATAGGGATTAGGGATCAGTGTTGAGTAGCAGTCTACAAGTGCGCGTATTTCTAATTACAATCTAATAATAGTTGCGATAAATACCTTGTGAATTTGTGTAATGTTAAGTGCTTAATGCAAGTGTTTGTTGGAGAAATGGGGCAAAGTCCAAGCTCTATAAGGAGTAAGGGCAGCCGAAAGTCCTTTCGAGGGTTTGTGCGGCGCTCGAAATTAAATAAGTCCAGTTTAAGTCATGCATTCAACTTGCCGCCCTCAGAGGAATATCCAGAGTTGATGAATATTAATACGGCTACTGAGGAACAGCTAATGACTCTGCCAGGAGTAAGTAGACAGCTGGCGCGGGAAATCGTTAGACATCGCCAGATGATCGGTCGTTTCAAGCGAGTTGATGACCTTGCTTTAGTATCAGGTAATTGTTAATATTAATCAATATGCATTTTATTTAAAAATTATTTTGTTTATAATAAAACAGATCGTATGGCATTTGTTGTAATAGTTTTTTTTATAAGAAACTATTTATATCATAATAAGACTAATTGTAAGCTAATAAGACTACTAGAGATTTCATACAATTTAAGCCAATATAATTCAATGTATAATTGGTTTATGCTATTGTACCTATAATTACATTGTGTATTTTAGGTATTGGTGCAGAAAAATTAGAGTTACTAAGACCAGAAATATGTACAAATATAAGGAGACAAGTATCTAGAGCAAGCTCATGTACACATTCACTAGATAGCTTCCGATTGTCTATGGAAACTAAACTATGTTCTGTTAATTCCTCCAGTGTGTTCCAATTGCAATGTGTACCAGGCCTCAACCAAGAGCTAGCTGCAAATATAGTTGATTATAGGGATAAAAAAGGACCCTTTAAATCTCTAGATGACTTAATAAAAGTCAGAGGCATAGATATTGTGAGACTAAGTGGTGTGAAACCGCACTTAAGTTTAGATTTAAGAAAAAGTGAGAGTGAGCAACATTTGCCAAATGGTCATGTAAATGGATGGACAGATGCTTCTTTAAATGGATCATTAATAAGTAGTGAATTGAAAACACCAGTGTCACCAAGCCGAAAGAGCTTTACAATGCCTGTTAAATTTCCTTTAACGCTACCAAATGGATTTGCTGCAGCACCTGTTAATGATATTTTAGACTTGTTATCAGCGTACTCACATAGACCAGTGGTAAGGGAAGATTTTATGTATGAAAGAGATGGTGTTAGATGTTGTCGTCTTGCATCATGGAATATTCACCAGTTAACAATAGAAAAGGTGATAAATCCTGGAGTAAGGGAAGTGATGTGTCGGACAATATTAGAAAATAAGTAAGTATAGCTTAGACATGTAAAAGTTACCTGTGTTGGTTGGCAAGTAAGGTATAATTGTTCTGTGTCTTGCCGTTAGCAATATCTATTAGAAGGTATGAAATTTTCTCCCTGTGGGTATCATTCTATAATCTTTTATATCAACTTCAACTGTTTATCTTCACTTATCAATTATAATAACAATAAATTTTTGCAATTATTCAATTAAGTGTTTATAAATATAATTTATATGAATTATGCATGTAAGGTCACTTAACATGCTAATAGGAAAAATTACAAACAATTTTTAAGATATGTAACAGTAAAAGTGTGTTATAACAATTTGATTATGACTTATTTTTTGTTGAATATTTAAATTAAACTTTTATTCAGGTTGTCCGTAATAGCTATACAAGATGTTGTAGAAACGGATGCAATAAAAATGATATGTGAAGAGTTAAATGCACCAACTATAAGACGAGTTAGAGAGTGGAAGATAAATAGTCAAAATTGGGAATATTGCATACCACAGAGTGCTGATTGGTGAGTCATCTTCTAAAACATATATGCAAAAATTAAAACACGGGTTTTATATCCTATGCATACAACATCCACAATGCATGGGACTTCTTGCACAAGTCAATTTCGCACAAAAAGAAAATATTTTTTTATATTCACCTAGTTTACCATTTAAGAATTGAGGTTAGATATACAATGCTGAGTGCAAATATCTTATAGTGTATATATGTATGTTATGTATATAAATTATGACTCGGTACTTTTAGTACTTTTACATACTAAGATTAGTATTTCAGAACGAAAGGTGATATAATATCAATGTTCATGTTTTTGTTTTTTTATTTTAAAATACATGCCTAGTACATATTAGTTAATTATTAAATAATGGCACTATAATAAAATGTATCCAGGTTCTGTGACACTGAACATGCAATGAAAGGACTCTGTAATAGTGTTATAGTTATTATACATTTGTATGGATGATTTTAAAAGACACATTGTCTCAGATAGCCTAGACCTCAATACTATTAATAAAACTGCTTTATTGTGTAAAATAAATTTGCTATCAGATATATCAATGTGACACAAAATGAGTCATTTATCTTAGCAATCGCTACGTCAAAATATCAACAACACAAAATGCTTGTAATCAAATAATAAAAATTTCCTCTCGTCTCTTGAGTACATATTTCCTTATGTGCATACATTTTTAATGTAACAATTATTATTTATAAATCGCAAACATTTTCTGACATTTACCCCTGAAAGGTACTTAAGTGTTATGTTAAAGATACCGAAGGAATTCTTTAATTAATAATGCATAACTATATAAATCCTGTTTTACCAGTATTCAAACTTACTTTTATTTACTCGATTTCTTTTCATTTGTTCGTTTTATTAGCGGAAAAGATATGTCTATATCTGCGTCTCTCACTGACTAAGTAACTGTCTAGCAGCTTCAGAAGATTTCTTCTTAGTCGTATATACGGTGTCTGCTGCCCTGCTAGTGTAGTAGTCAAAAGGCTTAAATTATCGAAAATAAAAAAAAAACTTAATAATAAACTAGATCATCTCGTTAAGTTCATAGTTTACAAAATATTACTAAGGTTTATATTGAACTATTTAATAAATATACGGATGCCCGTGTTACACACGTAGTTAATAAATATATGTATGCATGCAACCATGAAAATATTGACGAAAGTTCGTTGAGGCACTGAGGCCGTTATATGCCCCTTATATTAAAAAAATCAGCGGCGCTACAACCATTTTAGGTCTGGGCCTCAGAGTTCTGTATGTTTCATAATCATATGTCAATCTAATAGCTAAGTAGGTGATCAGCTCCCTGTGTCTGACGTCGACTTCTTAGGCCGAAGGCAGGCCGATTTCCTCACGATTCGAACCTACGACCTCAGGTATAAGAGTCGCACGATGAAGCCACTCGGCAAACACTGCTTTATAAAAACTAAATCAGTTGAATTGTACTCTTAACTACTTAAGTTTTATTCTATTAAATCTTTCGTCTGTATGTGTCAAATTGTGTTTATGCTGTAATTATGAATGGTCTAAACCTTTAGCAGGACTTTTAGGTATGCTCTACAGCACCAACTCATGGTATTTTGGCTCGCAGAGGTAGTGCTTTACAACAAAAAGTTTTCGATTTGAAAAAAAATTATATCGTATAACTTAATATTATCTTCAATACACTCAATAAACAACTATAAATAGTATGTGTTAAGCAAAAACTCATCAGTACCAATCTAGTGAATATTATGAAAAAGATACAGGATGTAGATTTTTTCGAATTTTAATAAGAATTAGTAAAAAAAAGTCAATTTTCTTATAAAACGCAAAATAAATTATAACTCTGCAGGGGTTGAGCTTAGAGACCTCCTGTAGAATAATTTTTTTGCAGCTGATGACCTCATCTATCTCCTATTTGCGTTTGATCCACGACTTTTTGGCCACCCTGTATAACCAATTAGCTGGCCCGACGTATCAATCGCCAAACCTGTACAAAGAGCCATTTTTAGATCATGTTACCCTTGTACAAGTAGATATTGATGTAATACCTTGAATTTCAATTACACAAACTGCATTGTAGACAAAACATAAATTAATATGAATTAAATTACCTTGTCTTCAGAATATTTAAAATACTCACTTATAATAATAAAACTCCATGTTCTGGATCACGAGCTTAGAATTAGATTGTTTGTAACAATCACGCGAAACAGCCTGACGCATCAGGCTCAAATTTTACAGAGAATTTATGTTTTGATAGTAAATAATGTTATACTTACATTCATTTTGAGCAGACTTTATTTTATTTATAGATAAACATTTTAAGAATATAGATACAGGCAGGCAAGCTTGTCATTTGATTGAATATATTAATTAAAATTTGCTATTTGTATTAGCTCACATCACCCGCTTCACGCGAACTTTAGTATCCCATACTAATAGAATGAAGTTTTTCAAATGATAGTTTTACTCTGTTATTTCAGTACGAAAGTTGAAATAGAAATATATGGTGAAATCAAATTTTTAAGTACTCTTACAAACAAGTTTTTGCGTTCAAAATGTTTTTGCCGGTTTTGTTATACGTGAGTGAAAGACGTTTGAAAGACAGAATTAATGTTATTCTTTGTTACGTAAAATTTATAATATTTGGCGTTTTTATTTTGTTATAGTTAGTTGTATTAGTTTCACGTATTATTTATTATTGCACATTAACAAAAGTATCAATTAAAATTTTTCTTTATTATTTGCCTTTAGATTGCGTTTAGGATTAGTACGAAGATGCTTGTTCATAAATTTAAAAGGAGAAAATTAAATAAAACAACTTTATTGCAGAAATGATTTGTTTGGTTCACAGTTGATCAAAGATTAACATACATTATATATTCGCCAATATTTTATTTGAAATATTGGTTTCAATCATATTTTTTTTTAATTTAAAGTATTTATCGTGTGGTATATCCAATAATAGAGAATAAAAGAAAAAAACTGTAGTCTAGGAACGCTATATATATATATATATATATATACAATTTTATATTACATATATATTTTTACATTAGTTTTATGAAAACTGTATTATTGTATCTAACTGTACTTACAGTCGCTCCCTCTGCTTCATATATGAAAACAGTAATGGCAACAACAAAAGTGTGACGATAGAGGATGTTGCGACGGACCAGCTCCATCTGGTGGTGAATTGTGATGTTAAGAAGCTGGTGGAAATGCTGGATGATCTGCGAAGTGATAGATTCAACACCAGCACGCAAGGTAAATATATAAAGTGATTTTATACAGGCAAAAGCTATCCGTGGGCGGTGATTTTCACTGTAAAACAACTTTGGAAAACAAATTTATGACGAAGAGAGGAGAAGAGAAGATTTAAGATGAATTATCTTTAGTACCTGCGTAATATAACTGTTTGTTTATAGTATTTTGGCGGATAAACCCAGCTTTTTGAGATCATGTTGTTACATTAAGAGCAGTGTTGGCCTAGTTGCTTCAGCGTGCGACTCTAATCCCTGAGCTCGTAGGTTCGATCCCCGGCTGTGCACCAATGGAACTTTCTTTCTATGTGCGCATTTAACATTCGCTCAAACAGTGAAGGAAAACATCGTGAGGAAACCGACATGTCTTAGACCCAAAAAGTCGACGGCGTGCGTCAGGCACGCCGCACGGGAGGCTGATCACCTACTTGCCTATTAGATTTAAAAATGATCATGAAACAGATTCAGAAATCTGAGGCCAAGACCTAAAGAGGTTGTAGCGCCACTGATTTTTTTTGTTACATTAAACGTCTAGCTACAAAATTTCTCCTAAACATATTTTTTTATGAATTTTACTAATCTTTTCTGATCATTCTTCAATAATTTCGATCAATGATAAATGAGTTATGCAGGGATATGGGGGCATACAGAAAATATGATAACATTTGAAGTAGGTAAAAATTTAATTTATCATAACACCATAACAGATAATTACGTACCACGAGCCCTAACGAACAGTGTCATATAATTGTTCGTTATCACGATTAGAACTGATGTCCTTTTTGAAGGACATTCTGTAAACATCGTGTAATTTTTCGTCCTCACGGGTATTTGTATTCAATTTTATCGGCTGGAATGTTGTACTTCTTTGGTCACGCTCATCCTTTCAGAAGGTCTCATGCAAACCTCAACACCTGTTTGACCTGTAAGCTTTGCTTGATCAGTCCAGCGAGTAGAGGATCGGCCTCGAGGTCTTGTGCCATACGCTCTGCCAGTAACAATATTTTTTTCTAAATATGTATGTACTAAATAAAACACGATTTGTTTGAAACAATACCTAAATTTTTATACATATGTAATAAACGAAGCAAAAATACGGAATAATAGCTAAGCAGGTACTTCATTAATTTAATTGCTCATTACGTCTATTATTTCGAAGCACCAAGTATGTATTGAATGAATATAATATTAAGACGATATAATGAGGTCGTTATTTCTCCAACAGTATAATGTTACTGTATTATAACAAACTCTTGCGGTTTCTCCTTTACTTTCAAAATGTATTGATAAAATACGTCGGACTGTAAAAAGCGTTTTTGTTAGCTTATTGTGATTTATACTAGTTCAAGATTGTCTGTCTCCATTTGAGCGAATAAAAGATGATAAAAATATATCTGGACTGGGTCTCAAGATTTTTTACCCCTACTCCCTAAAACCCAACAGCCCCACCTGCGCTATGGACAGGAGAGGCAGGGTAACAGTTATCCTTAATACGTGCACCCGTCAAGAGCGTTAGCTGGGTTGTACCCATGTTTACCCTACATAAGCCTCATATAGTTATTTTTCCGAGTTAAATATTTTTCCCAAAATTTTTTTATCACAAGAGTTGAAACCATAGCATAGCATATTATGCTTTTATATGAATTTTTGTGCCACACGTGTATCACACATTTAAAAACAACTTCATTATCAGATAGCAAGAATTAGTTAAGTTATTTACATAATTCGTTTGAGTGCTTTTCAGTCCTGGTCAGCGAGAGACTGCCATAATAAGTTAACACAAATATTTAATATTAGAAAAGGTGGCATTTAAATACGAAGGAATTATAATATTTCTTTACCAAATAGAATATAAAATGTGATAATTTCCTCAGTGAATTAACATTAACCGGATGGACATGTCTTATTTACATTTTCTATACAAAGATATATGTTTGATGTAAGTGTGACTGACAGTGCTTTAGAAATAGATTTACTTTGTTCATCATTTGTATTTGAATGTTATTCATGCAAACACTCATAAAAGCAGTTGTTTCTAAGCAATAGTATAAAATATATAAATAAAGAATTAATAATCATAAAATAGTTTATTTGCTAAGATGGTGGTACAATTGAATCGATTAATTATAAAAATCCGCACAATCAGCCATATATAAACAGGCATGCAAATGTCATATTAATTTTTATAATTATATTGGTGTCAAAGTTATGGTCTAAATACTCGCCCACGCTATAAAGGCACACAAGGACATATATAGTATGTTTTTTATTGAAAATAAAAAAAAAACAATTTGGGTAAACTTAGGAATGATTTTCTATAGAACCTTCATTTCTCGTTTATGTCTCAAATGAAATATATTTTCTTTAAATGTGTAATATTTGTGTATATATCGTTCGTTCCTTCGTTCGAACACTGTTAGATTAAATTCGATTTAATGTATTGAATATAGAATATACAAATTTATCATTTATAATTTTTAGTTTCATTTGGTTTTTCAAGTACTGTTACAACAACCTATAAAATAGAAATGGAAAAAATAGGTCATTGGGCTCAGATTCCTTGATCATATATATTTCACAAATAGGTGATCAGCCTTCTGTTGAAACACGCTGGTTTCCTCACGATGTTCATCGTAGTAGCAAGTGTCTACGCCTATAGATAAAAAATAAAAATCCTTTGTAGTCACTCTTAAGCCACTAATATAAATATTACGATATGCAGATATGAAATTCCTATTTCATATGTAAAATAATATTTGTTGCGCCTCTGAATTTTGCTTAGACATAGTTTGTAAGAATGTGTTTGTATGAATGCTGGCTAGCGATTGTTTAAACGTTTTCGTACACATTGGGCTATCAGAAATATAATATAATATATGTTCGTTATATATAGTTTTCATTAACTTATTAAACTACCTATTCCGGCTTTGTATAGCTGGATATTTTAGAAATACCTAAAGCCTTTGTTACCCACGGATAATGTAGGATATTAACGATTAAAGATTTTTGAAATTGATACATTTTTGATTTTATTTGTTAAAAGCATACAAATCTTTCCTCTTATTAATGTTAGAATACATATAAATGTATTGCGCGTTTTAATTGACATAAACGTAGTCCCATATGAAACATTCTAGCTTAGACGATGTAGCAATAATATAGTCTAGAAATCAAAATATAATAATGAATATGTTGATTTTCAGACTCAGTAACTAATTAGAATTGTAATGTAACCATAATATAGGCTATTTTTATATTAATTATATAAATCCTTTGCATTACTAAAGATTCTGTATTCTTGAACATTCTAACCTTCGACACTGAGTTCGTTTAAAGTATAAAGGGCCACGTTTTAAGACCAAGTTTCGTCAGAAACGTGTTAATTCTTATGTTAACCTGTAATTTTAGCATTAATGTTTATGATAACTTCGTGTGTTGTAAAACTGAAATGTTATCGAACTATTGTGTTTTATACCGACTTTCTCACGAGTGTTTATAATATTTATAATTGATAACAAATGGCAATTTTCTCATAATATCTCGATAGTTTTATTACCGTAATAAACAAAAACATTATCAAGTGGTATAAAATTTGGGATTCCGTCATTCCACGCCATTAAATTCCCATATTTCAACAAGTCACTTTTAAGTCAGTAAATATAGATATAATTGTGTTATCAATTTCAGTTAACATAATTATTATTAGATTTGTCAGAAGTCGAACAATGATTCGTTCGAGCATTGTTTCGCATAATTGGCTTGATTTGTGGTCCATTCAGATTTTATTACCGACTTACCGTCTACTTACTACGTACGTACTGACTACGTTCCAAATGTAGTGAAGGTCATAACTGAAGAACGTTGGTAATATTGTTTATTATTCCCGCTTTCTTTTGTTTCAAACGGTTGTATTGACTTTTCATAATGCAGCAAAAATCTATACATTTGAAATATTTTATTTATGGCATCTAGCTTTTATCGTTTAACATCTATACTTACATTATAATGTAATAAAGTGTGTTGGAAGAAATCTCTGCAATACTGAACTGAACATTTTTTGACAGTTTCTGTCGCGCAACACCACTATATAGAACCAGTCACATACTGAAGTATTTCCGAACCAAATCCACTTTCAAGAAAAGAGCGTACTAATTCTTAAAAGGCCGGCAACTTACTTGCGAGCCTTTTGGCAGTGTGAAACTACATCCCGCTTGCTTTTTAAAAAAACTGATTTTGAAAATTCTTTAACTAGTAATCCTGCTGTAATGCTATAAATTTTATACTTATTAGGTTAAAGATATCTAGGAGTTTTTCTGTGATGTTTTTGGTGGATACGTAAATTAAATAATATTAAAATCTTGTATTAGGTAAATGAGCGATGATTTTCGAATACATATATAACAAACTAAACATTGCTTATACACCTAATAATTTTCCTTAAAAAACAATACATAATCCACAAGAGCATAACATATACGTAAGATATGATATAATGCCTGTATCCGATTAGTTAGAAACGCACTGCAATGCGACTGAACATGGATAATGCTTGCAGTATATTTTGGTGATGAATTCTTTTTCATTATTTTTAAAATACATATTGAAGCGGGAAATGTCTTTTGTCTTTTATCTGTCATACTTTGTCTGTATCGTGTATGAAATAAATTTAATATTGACTGCGTATAATTTTAATAATATTCTGGTTCAGTTTAGTTGTTCAGCCGATAAGCAAATCAATAGGGATTAACAATTAAATTCGATTCGAAAGCATAATTAACACGTGACGTTTGTCATGGACGTATTATGAATATAAGGTTAATTATATTTAGGCCCCAGGGAGTTTGTGACATTCATAGAAAGGTCGAAAGTTTACTTCGGTACTGTGGAATATGAAGTGTAGAACTGTGGCGCAGGGTAATAACCTTTATGTGAAAATTAATTTCAATTATGAATATTGGTAAAGAAATAATTGTTGCTTTTTATCGTATCCGCTACAGGTTAATA